GCCATGAAGCAATGCGGAATCCGAGGAAATGATGGAAGGCGTAATATACACATCAATTTGAAGAAATGCAGAAATGCGGAAAATGCAGAAATGCAGAAATGACGAAAAGCATTACAATTTCCAATTTTTCAGCAATTCGCCATTTCTGCATTTTCCGCATTTCTTCATTTCCGTCGCAAGCTATGAACGCGGCCTAAATGATGTAGCATAACATAACGCAACCGAAAGCAGAAATAGCATAACATAACAGAAAAACAGACAGCATAACAGAAAAAAAGAAAAGAAATGGAGCTATACCAGCCGATCAGCTGGAAAATGGTGAGGAATCGATTGGAAGGGATTCTGGGCAGGACCAGCCGTGCAAGGTGGTTGCAAGGTGGTTGGATTGGAGCGCGAGTTTTCAGGAAAACAGGGTGTCTTTGAAGGGCCATAACTTCCTCAAAAGCGGACCTGTGGGAAAGAGGAGACCGCAGTCGTGTAGAGGAAGGTTTGAGCTTCCTAAAAGTACTGAAATGTTTATGAAGGTCGCCAAATTCATAGAGAAATTCAGCGTTGGGGATTTTTTGGGGAGTTTTTGGATAGTTTGCAGTGCAAATTGTACAGGTTTGAACCAAGATATTTCCCTTGAACCTCAATAGTTTGGAAATCTGAAACCAGTGTCGAATTCTAGAAGATTTTCTCTTTCCAAAAACTACTTGAAACTGTTTCTGAAGTTTCCGGGATTCATGAGATAATTGCGTTGGGGATTTTTTGAGGAACACTCCGAACTGTTCGAAAAACTGTGTACGGTTTCAAGCCAGCGTGTTCGAATAATCAGAAATACATGTAGAACGTATCCTGTGGTGGAGCAGGAGCAGGATGTGGTTTGTTTAGCGCCAATCATGCTAACTTTGGATGCGCCGCGCATTGAGGTCCGAGAGGTGATGGGATGGTGCAATTTGCAAGCCAATTCTGTCCACGCAGAGCGAATGTGTCTATTAAGGATTTCAGAAAGGTCCATGGCGAACCTGTGCACTTGTTTACAGTGTTTTCGTTGCGTATGATGGAGCGTGCCCCTGTCGACGCCGCCAGATCGTGCTCCGCCAATTGTGATTCTAAATGGAGATAACTGCTGGAAAACGTCTGATACGAACGATATGGTAGTCCTGTCGTTTGTCGAAAAAAAAAACAGGCTGGCTCAGCGCCAAGCGCGATCGCGGACATTACGTGATGATTTTGTTCTTGTACGCCCCATCATCCGCAGCGAAGCGGAGTATGAGTTGTAGTGTTAGTAACTTACGAGATGTTGTCGACTTATAATATACCATTTTCACTTTAAATCGGACACTTTTCAAACCAAATCGGACACTTTTCAAATCAAATCGGACACTTTTCAAACCAAATCGGACACTTTTCAAACCAAATCGGACACTTTTCAAATCAAATCGGACACTTCAAATCAAATCGGACACTTTTCAAACCCCAAATCGGACACACCCCTTACAATTAGGTGGTTGATAACTAGACCACACTAGGTACTGTTGCAAGCCCCGCCCCATTATCCCCGCCCACTTCTCAGCGCGGACAGGGTTTTCCGAGATGCTTCATGAAATCTGCTCCTTCGACTTTTTCCGTTTTCTTTGCAAAACACGGGGGGGCTGGGCCGATGCCAACTTCAACTAAAAAAAGATTGATACAGACCAGACTCCGCCTACTTAACAATGAAGTTACGTAAGTTCTGAATTTTTATAACTTTTTTCGACGTAGTTTCATGTTCCATATCCATCTTCACAAAACGAAATGAACATGGCAGCAGGCAGCACCAGGGTGCCGCGCCCCCCCTCGACCCTCCCGCCGCACCTATGTTTATCGGCGGAATTTCGGTTTTCTTCAGCGAATTTGCGTCTTTTTTAGGCTTTAGCTGATTGCTTCCGCCGCCAAAATGGAACGTCCGCCACTCTTGGAGGACCCCGCCCGACTTTTCGACAGTGATGTAAAATCGGCGGCTAGTGTCCGTACGACCGGAGTTACGGCCTCTCGCCAGAATCACAGAATAAGAAAAGGGAAAACCAAAAAAGAGGGAAACCTTGGTTCTGAGCGCGTGAGAGGCCGTTCCGCCAGTACGTACTCTAGCCCGCCAATTTTCATCATTTTCAAAAAGTGGGCGGAGCTTCCATTGGTGGGCGGAGCCAATCGCTAAAGCCTAAAAAAGCGAAAATCCGGAAGAAAAACCAAAATTCCGCGATAAACACAAGTGGGCGGGGTCAGAGGGGCGGGGCCTTGGTGTGCTGTTTCAAATGGTTTTCCGTTTTGTGGGAGACTGGGATATGAAAAGAACTACGACGAAAATAAGTTATAAAAGTATTAGGTTGGCTAATAAGTATGGCCGTTTTTTTCAATTGAAAAATTTGTTTGAAAATGAAACCGTTTTGCAAGCAAGTTATATATCATCTGATAGGAAACTTCTCGTAGTATAAGAATATCAAAAAAGCTTTGGTTGAGGATATAGTTTTTGTGAATTTTTTAGTCGTTGAAGTTGGAAGTGAAGTCGGCGAAAATTAGCATCTTCGACAACTGCCTCTATTTAGAAATTTCATGCTAATAGTTGAATTAATTGAATTTGAATTTGATATTCTAATACTACGAGAAAGTTTGCTATTAAAGTGATGTTAACTTTTCCATCTGAAAAATTTTTTTGCGCGAAGTAAAACCGTTTTGCAGGCAAGTTGATATCGTTATAACTAGCGAAACTTCCCGTAGTTACTAGGAATATCAATTTCAACTTTGATTTAATTCAACTATTAGCCCTGAAATTTCAGGGAACAGACGGATGAGCTGCCCAATATTGGCAAGGTGAAGGTTGCCAACTTTGAAATTCTTGAAATTAGTTCCAAAGCGTCCTATTGAGATTCCCTTGCTGAGACTTCTACCTCAACCTTTTCCGAATGTATGGAGCAGCTTAGGCGATTTTAGCACTTCGACTATAGTAAATAGAGGCAGTTGTCGAAGATTTAATTTCGGGCCGGACTTCAACCCTTCCAACTTCAACGGTACTAAAACATTCACAAAATTACATCGCTCAACCAAGCTTTTTTTGATATTCTTATACTACGAGAAGTTTCCTATCAGATGATATATAACTTGCTTGCAAAACGTTTCACTTTTCAAACAAATTTTTCAATTGAAAAAACGGCTTATTAGCCAACCTAATAGTACTTACGTAACTCCATTGTTAAGTAGGCGGAGTCAGATCTGTTAGGTATCAATTTTTATGTCTGAAAGTGTGTGTGCGCAAAGGGCAAGGAAAAAAAGCGAGGGAGAGATGTTTCGGTGAAGCATCTCGGAAAACCCTGTCCGCGCTGAGAAGTGGGCGGGATAATGGGGCGGGGCTTGCAACAGTACCTAGTGTGGTCTAGTTATCAACCACCTAATTGTAAGGGGTGTGTCCGATTTGATTTGAAAAGTGGTCGGCGATTTGAAAGTGTCCGATTTGAGTTTGAAAGTTGTTCGCGTTTGGTTTGAAAGTGTCGATTTTGAAATGTATAAAGAGTGTGCCGATTCGGTTTGAAAAGTGTCCGATTTGTTGAAAAGTGTCCCGGCTTGGGTTTGAAAGGGTCTGATTAAGTGTAAAATGGTATATTTCCAGTTATTTCGGATTAGTTTGATGAGTGAAAGTTTTGTACTATTTTTTTTACATATCCGAGTTCTCTACAAAGCAAGTTTCGCTGTACAGGACTCAGCACACTGACACTTGGCGCTGTCGTTATCTGCTAACGCACGTCACTACGACCCCCGGCCCCCCGTCTCCTGGCGGCCAAATACGCCCCCTACCCCCTGTTGAGGATTCCCCAACCAAAGATGTGCCCTGCTTTGGGGCAGCGTCCACCAGGGTTTCGAGCGAGCGAGCGCCAGCGCCAGCGGCTGGGGAAGTTTAGATGTCAATTTAGCGAACGCTCGCTTCTACTATCGTCCACCACCGTCCAGGAGTGGAGAGTATGGGGAGTAGGGGGAGGGGGTAGTTGACAGCTGGATTAGACGTCGTGAAATTGCGGCGTGTGCAGCCGCACAGTACAACTGCTAAAGCATACAATTATGCAATCTTTATGTACGGGGTAGTGGTATTGTACGGTACCTCTCACCACATCTCACGACGCCGAATCCAGCTGTTTGCTACTCTCCTACTTCTCCATACTCTCCACTCCTGGACGCTGGTGGGCGCTGGAGTTCGCTCGAAACGGTGGATGCTAGAGATTGCTGGTGGACGCTCATAAAGTAAGAACGCAGCCTTAGATTGTTCTGAACTTAACGGATATGATGTTCGTATTCAGGAAGTCAAATTGTCTCTGAGTTTTCGGGGTATTTTGCCACCGGCGCCTGTGGCGCCAAGCACTTCGGGCTAGACGGATGTGACTTTCGTGTTCAAGTGGTCAAAGTACCCCTGGAGACCAATTTTCAGACGAATCGAAGATGTGACCTCAACTCCGAAAACTGGGCAGTAAAGGGCAAATAGTGCCAAGAACTGCACAGTGATAAGAAGGATTGAATACGCATCGAACTATCTCCGCTATTCTGCAAATCTGCAAACTACTTATTCAGTCGTTTTCGTTAACTCTGCAATTCCTCATTTCTTCATTTCGTCAATTCCTTAGTGATAAGTGACGGAGAGGGCCGTCGCCGACACTAGTGTAATCACAAAATAAGAATAAAATGTTCCCTTGAAGTGATTATTACAAAGAACTCCTGGTACATATGACACGTAATGACCAATATAAAGTACCGCGATAGCGCTCCATGGGCGAATAAAACAGTCGTGGGATTACGGTAATCGCCAGTGATGTGCGATTACACGGCTACCCTTCGTGTATTTACGTAACATCCATAATTCACATTAATTTTTTTCTGTTTTATGTTAGCTTTGTCTCCTTTTGCCTACATGCTTTTACAGGACTAGCGAATAGTTCTCCAATTTTTTTGCAATATTTATGTGAAAGATGTGTCGGTAATTCCTGTTGCTGCAGAAAATGTCGGATTCGGATAGCGCAAGTGATGACAATGAGAACAAGAATGGTAACGCTTCTCCGGAGAAGTTAGTTATTTGAAGATGCTCGTTATTATTTGCTTGTATCTAGGCTGTACCATAATTCTTGCCCCATTTTCGACATCTCGTTGATTTTTCTCTTTTCCGATAAACATCTAATTATCAGTATAACCACCGCTGGGATCGCTATGTGACCATTTCCTCAGCGACTGGATGGCTTTCTTGGAAAAAGAGGGAAGCTAGCGGTTGAAAACGTGGAAATGGTCACTTTTTGCTGGTTTTCTAATATTTAGTGCAGATTAGATGCTTGTCCGGTAGCCCTTTGGTAGTCCTTCCTCGTCCGTGCAGGCAGTTTCCAGGAGTGTCCCACCTAGATATTAGTATTGGGAGCCGGCTTGTATTCGAGTTTCTTCCACAGCATGCGCTTCCTTTTCTAGAAAACCAGAGCATAATCGTCTGAGTGGTGGCTTCGGGCTTTGTTTAGGCTAGTGACCCTTAGCAGCGCAGCAGATCTGTTGCGTGTTGATCTCAGTGGACGTAGCTCCCAACTGCAGCGGTGATGCACTGGAGAAAGCCCTACCTGTGAAGTCAAAGAGTAGGCTTTTTGTGGATAGCAAGGGTAATGGTGGTGTTGATGGTCGGGCCTTGCATGCGGAGTCCTTCGAAACTACAATCTGCAATGGTCTAACCCAGATGAGGAGCGACGAATACTGCGGTCTAACTGAATGTCTGCTCCCAAACTCATCCGGTAAGCATGAATACAGACGCAGTTGTGCTTTTACCCAGGTTTACAGGATACACAAAGTGGGGTCGACCTCCTGAGCTCATACCGCTTTTCAGGAGCCAATTGAGCGATGGACTCACAGTCGGGTTAGTTACAGTGTCTGGCCCCGATGCTACGCCAACCTCTTTGACCGTCCCTCTTGCGCTGGCTCCCGAGCAATATTCTTTAGCCATAGTTCATGGTAAGGAGCGTTGATCCACAATACGAGTTCTGCTTCCAAAACTCTTATTAGGAGCCCTACTTTGCTTCCCTACATATCAGCAGGGTACAGCATCGTTGTGCGAAACCCATAGGGGGGTTATACTTGGCCCCTGGGGAGGGGGGGCTCGTAATTTTAAGGTTCAGTCAGCACCGGACAAGGCTATGACGTTTCAGTTGAGGAAGGAGTAGAGCTATGAAAGCCGTGATGTTAAAAAAATGTGAAAAATTTTCATGAGTGTATTCTCGACAGATTGAAGCGCGTCCATCAGCCTTCTTTTCGTGCGAAATCCCCAGAAAGGGAATCGCACTTGGCCGCAGGGAACGTGGGGAAGGTCGCAAACGGAGGGTCGGCGAGCATGAAACGGCACAAAAGTGTCATTGCTAAAGTTTGATGGAACGGATGGAAAGCTGCAGAAGACCCGGATGTTAGGAAAGACTACAAATAATAAAAATTTGATCAGCAATATGTATCAATTGTTAGCATGAACTGGTAGATGACTGAAATAATACGTCTCAAACAGATTCGTGCGCACTGTCCTCAACCCCTAAACAACAACAACTGCTTGCATGGACAAAATCACCTAAAATCAGAAGTTACACCTTTCCACCCTCTGCGTAGAAGCGTAATGCACGGCGCACACTCGGACCAAATCGATCGATGATAACCAAGCTCTTCTTTCAACTCATTCGAGCGGGAATATGTGCTTTGAAGGTATATTGGAGTTCTTGAATGAGTATCCTCATATAGGAACACGGAAGGAGTCCAACTTTTGAGTGGTTAAGAGGGTAGCTTGTTGGTAACTCATCTAAAATATCTCCTGAACTAACGTGTCTTCAGGAAAGCTGTAAAGCTTGTTGGAAAAAGAAAAGATAGGGCGCTTTGAAGTGGTTTTGTTCCTGATGAAATAGCGTTTGCAATAAGTAATCCACGTGTGAAACATAGAAACCCGCTTGCGATTTACCCCTAACCTATCCGAAACCCATCCGAAATATTTCACGAACAGGGGATTGTTCAGTTTGCAACTAGGTAGAATACACAACAGTAGGAACTTTGCCGTTGCATGCTGCTTACCATTCCTCAAAAGCTCCGCACCTAAAAGAGTAATAACCTCTCGAAAAGAAAAGACCCCAGGACGGTAGCTGGGCCAATAAGTGCGCTGCAATGACGTTTTTCCAGTAAAGCGGCCGCAACATTGCGACCGCCGTACGATCGGTATACTGCGCCTTGATAATTCATTTTTTATTTAGTTTAGCAGTTTATTTGTTTATTGTTTTCGTACATAGTTTTCTCGATCAGCGGGATGACTTCTAACAGAAGAGAGTGTCGTGCTCGACTTCCCCGTCACCTCCACTGATTGCACGTCTGGGGCCTGACACACTGGCTTTGGAATTTTTTTCACTAATTTTGCTTAAAAATTATCACCATTGTTTGCTGTTTTATTAACGGTCCTTGTTATAAGTTGCATCTCATACATAGTTGCTGAACGACGCCTTTTATTTCTGAACCCTAAAACAAAATTGTTGGCAAAATGGGCTGTTGTTCAGCCTCATATTGTATGAGGCTGAACAACAGCCTCGTATTGCCTACAGTTTTGCAGCAAAGTCCGCGCTGCAGGATCCCTGATTCCCATTTTAGGATGTCATTTCGTATGAACCAACATATGGCTGTCAGTTAGAACGGGAGGGGGGAGGTCGTAACCGGACCCTCTCCGAGGGGGGTGTACTCACACCGCCATTTCGCACATCCCCATACTGTACCCTGCATATCAGAGTTGTTTTGTGATAGCCCGACATGGACCAGGAAAATTTTTTTCAAACAAAGAAGTCGGAGAAGATTAATCATGGGACAACATAATATCAACATAAAAACCAATTTAAGAAGTGTATCATTTTCCATCTGTCAGGAATTCTTCGAGTGGTGATTCCGATTCCACTCCCTCACATCGATCTCATCCCGACGAGACCTCACAAAATGCTCTCAGCGAAAAAGGTTGGTTAGTAGTGAGGACGCGTTTGTCCCTTGCAAAACTAGAGAACTGAAAAATTGGTGGATTTCGGAAATGGAAGAGGCCGCAGAGGAATGTACAGGCATCGGCCTGCAGAATTAAGGAATTAGGGGATAGGCGATTTCTGAGTTCTACTGATTGATACCGTCTACTCTTTTGTGCATTCTCAGATCCGACTTCTGCGTCTCACCGATTTTTTTATTCTCTATTCGCAAGGTGTGAACGCGACCCACGTTTTGATGATCTTCGAAGTGATCACAGAAAGATATCGAAGGCAGATGTGAAGGCCAACGCTATCATTTGTATTTTAGGCTCTGACAAAAGTGACTCTGAGCGGTCTTCCGCATCTCCTCGGAAGGACAAGAACAATGTGGTCAGTGGCTCTGAAAAGAGTGATTCTGAACGGTCTCTGCATCCCCTAGAAAGGACACGAAGAATGTGAATAGCGGCTCTGAAAAGAGTGATTCTGAACGGTCTTCTGCATCTCCTCGGAAGGACAAGAAGAAGTTGGCCAGCGGCTCCGAAAAGAGTGAATCTGAACGATCTTCTGCATCTCCTCGGAAAGACAAAAAGAATTTGGCTAGCGGCTCTGAAAAGAGTGACTCTGAGCGGTCTTCCGCATCCCCTCCGAAGAACAAAAAGAAATTGGTTAGCGGCTCAGAAAAGAGTGATTCTGAACGGTCATCTGCATCACCTCGGAAAGTGAAGAAGAGTTTAATTAGCGACAGTTCAGAGGATGAGGTACGTGATTTTCTGTTCTTGGACAGTTAAACGTTCTGTGGTTTAAGATTCACTTTGTTGTAATATATAGCTTGGCCACGTTACTGGTAGAGTAGAGACCTCCAGTTTGCGCTCGGAGCGGGTGGCTATGCATTGAACTATGTGCGTGTTGGATTGAAAAACCGCTGAAATTTGAAAGTTTGCAACTTGAGCTTTCAAAATGGATAGTTGGTGAGGACTTACCACATCCTTTTGATCAACTCTTACCTTTTTTCCTGGGAAGTACGTGGATGAGCACATAACCAACTAATATGAACGAAGTGGCTGTTTATTTAGCAGGGAGATAATTAAGATATGACTACCATACGACAGTTTCTACCACACTAATGTAGTAGGTATTAAGATCCTGAATTTTTTATCATAGTGTATGCTTGACCTCTTATTTGAAAGCCACAACGATGATTTTTGAAGTGCAGTGGTGGGAAAAGCGGTGTTCATGAAGCACGATTTTTTAGGCGGGAAGTGGCAAGAAGTCGCCAACGTCTGCAGCTCGTATTTTTGGAGATGATTTGTCTTCAGACTCAGATGATGAGAGAGGAGATGCAGTCAAAAAGAAAAGGGCAGCTACAGATTCTGATGGAAATAAGTCAGATGCGAGTAGGAAAAGTTGGTATTCACGGACTCATTTGTGATCATGTTCTTCAAAGTTGTGTTGTTTCACCGCTGTTATTGATGCTTGGTAAAAAAAAATTAAGGTGACGAGAGCATTCATGGTATTCGAATGTATCCCGAACAAGAAGAACAACCCGAGAAGCAACTACCACCAACTATTGTTGACGTTAGTTACTTTGGCCATTATTATACCGAACTATCGCCACATAATGGATGTAGATTGCTCCATCATTGAGAGTTAAAACTAAATGTTACCAGATTTTTATACATTAAGTCCGAAACCATTGGATATGGTAATTGATTCGCGAGTAAATTGCAAGCTTTGGGATAATGTTAATGAGACGCAAGTGCGCGACGGTGGGAAGAGAGATAGGTGTTTTGTAAATTGCGGCCAGACAACTCTGTCCTGTTTATTCCTGCAAAGCTATATCGCATGGTAGGGGTCCAACTTACACATCATTTTCTGTGAGTTTTGGAATAGTATCGCAGCAAAGATTCGATTTATGAAATCGCTGGTGTGTCCTTCAACTGGCGTTTATTTACAAGACAACTAGTTACGTCACTGTTACGATGGGCAGTTTCCTCGGCTGTTCCCTTATTTTGGACGAGATTTTGTGGTGCAATAACTTGAAGTGCTTGTAGCTGCTGATGAGGATTTTTGCCGAGCTTCAGCATTTTCGAGCCAAAGCATTTACTAAGGAAAAAGTGAGCGCTATTTTCCCCATCATTTTCGTGAATTTCTGTCAGCGCAGCTACCAAGCATACAAACATTGTGATACGTTGGGAAAAGAAACGAAGTTTTTTTTTGTAAGCTGCAACGTAGCGCGGAGCCGATGAACCCAGAAATATGCGATTAAGGCCTGACACTGATGAGTAATTGTGAGGTGGGTCACTAACTTAGCTTGCATCATGTATCCAAGAGACGCTTAAAGGTAGTGTGATCTCGAATTAGTACACTTGATGAACGCTCTGTCCTACCGCATTGCTGATTCCACCCAGTAATTTTCTGTGCATTGCGTAGAAGTTCAAGTGTTTCAGTACGACAGCTTCCATAGGTTAATGTGCTTTTCCTGGCACTGCGGCCCCTCGAAAAACAAATCTGCCGTCATTGTGCGAGCTTTCCATATCCGGTGATAGTCCTAAGCGAGCTTTAATGTCTGATTAACACTTCGTTGCGTGTCTAGCTGACCCTGGATCTCCAAGGTGACCGGAGAAGACTGCTTCACCGTAACAACTTGTACGATGATTCAGCCGCTCCGTGACCACTCGAAATGAGACTGTATAATGGATAAGAATGCACGGAAATTTCCTCTGAGATTATTGTCTTCTCTAAGATTCTCCCTGTCAGGGGAAGTGCGCCACGAAATGTTTCTTATTCGTAGTTGTAAATGTGTTGGGTGCTCTGCTAGCCTGGGATTTTGTAATGTATGGAGTATAAAAATGGGGCTGGTGCCTGGCATTTCTAGGGTTACTGAAAAGAACGGGTCTCACAAAGTGCTCGGTAAGTGTGCAAAGGTTTCGAAGACCCCTGCTCCTCCCCGAGTTAGGCGGATAAAGACATAAATCAATAATTGTTATGATTAGGAAGGAATGGCTCCTCTGACATAGGAGAGCACAACTTCACCTTTTTCAGATAACTGTGAGCAAAGTGAATTGTGATTTCGGTGATGGGATCCAGTTCATGAAGGTCTCGTAGGTCTTCTCTATTTTTTTTAGTAATTTTAGTGAAGTGTGAAAGTTTATTGTTTAGATTCCGAACTTCTTCTCTGTTGCGCAAAAACCCTTTGATCCGGAGACTTACGAAGAAGATGAAGATGACGATCACATAGACGATGAGGGACGTAACCGTCTAAAGTTGAAAGTAAGTACAGTTGTGGGTTTGAGTATTTCAATCCTGATTGTATTTGTACAGGATAGTTGAGCGCAGCTATTATGAAATCCTTAAAAATTCGAAGTGATGAAAAAAAGTTACTGATGAAAAACCGTGTCTAGAAGTTTATTTCGTTCGCGAAGTTGCTGTTGTGCTGTTGTACATCTGCTGCCCTAAAAAGCATTTCTTGGCAAGTACAGCTATGCGCCTTCCCTCGATTATGTGATGAAGGAACCATTCTTCGCTGGAGGTTCAGCATTGTGGCGAACGACGCCTTGTGCGCGGCATCAGTTTGGCAGATCACATCGCTGACAATTTGCGTGATATCTCATGTATTTCTTCGCATCCTCGACGTTCTGTCCTACACCTTGTCATGGTGGTGTGTCTTCAGAGCTAAACGATAATCAAACACCGTCAAGGAATCGGTAGCGATTTTTACGCTTCACTTGGTCAGTTTTTGCCGAATCAATGAGGAAAGTGCCGCTCCTAGGTAGCTGTCCTTCTGAATGGCGTGCTTTGCGGTTAGGTCGTACGCGGAATGCCTCCACGCCTTTGGTCGCCAGAGCCGCAGAGAAAATACCGCTTTTTCACTCTGATCACTGGCTAGTTGTCTTGCTAACTGCGCTTGTGCTCATGAGTTTTCTTGCTATTTCTTGACTTTTGGCTTTTCTT